GGTCTTTCTCCTCATCATCCGCCTCCTTCTCCTCCTCTCCCTACGTCGTCCACCTCATTCCTGTCAGCTCCTCCGTCCTCCCTCTTCCACATCGAGCCTCCCTGTTCACTCCTCCACCATCCCTTCTAACTCCTCACCCGTTCCTCATCACGCATACATAGATCCTCTCTCCATACTGCTCCCTATCATATGTCGTTCCTCCTCCATCCTTCCAAATTCGTTCCTTCCGCTTCCTTCCTCTCGTATCCTCATCCACTGCCCGCTCTCATCCTTCGCCGCCTTCCTCTCCCATCCTCACTTATCCTCCTCCCACTCGTCTTCCTCCGACTCTTCCTCTTCCTACTCTTCTTCCCCCTCGCTTGCTAAACCACCCTCCTGGCACACATCTTCCTCATCCTCGTCCTCCTCTTCCTCCTCTTCCTCATCACCATCATCCGCAGCAGGATCATCATAGTTACCATCACCACCACCATCATGATCATCAACAACACCACTGCCCTCACCACCACCATCATCATCACCGTCATCAGCCTTATCAGCATCCTCATCGTCAGCATCATCATCATCATCCGCATCACCATCGTCATCATCATCATCATCATCATCATCATCATCATGATCATCATCATCATCATCATCATCATCATCATCATCATCATCATCATCATCATCATCATCGTCTGCATCATCATCATCATCATCATCATCATCATCATCATCATCATCATCATCATCATCATCATCATCATCATCATCATCATCGTTATCATCATCTGCATCATCTGCATCAGGAGCATCAGCATCACCGTCATCACCATCATCAGCATCAGCATCAGCATCACGATCTGCATCAGCATCATCATCACGATCAGCGTCATTATCGTCAGCATCATCATCATCAGCGTCATCAGCATCAGCATAAGCATCCTCATCAGCATCATCCTCATCATCAGCAGCAGTATCATCATCGTCGTCATCAGCATTATCAGCATCAGCATCAGCATCAGCATGCTGGTCCTGCATCGTCATCATCATCGTCAGCAGCATCATCCTCAGCAGCATAGTCCTCACATACATCATCACTTTCATCAGCGCCATCAGCATCATCATCCGCATCAGCAGCATCATCATCATCGTCCTCTTCAGTATCATCAGCATCAGCATCAGCATCAGCATCATCGTCAGCATCACCAGCATCAACATCAGCATCATCAGCACCATCACCAGCATCAGCAGCGTCATCATCAGCATCGTCATCATAATCAGCACCATCATCAGCATTATCAGTATCGTCATCGTCATCATCATCAGCATCATCCGCATTATCGTCATCATCATCATCATCATAATCAGCATCATCGCCAGCATCGTCATCAGCATCATCAGCATCAGCATCATCATCATCACCACCATCATCCTGATAACCATCATCATCCTCATCCCCTATCATCATCAGATCATCATCATCATCAGCATGATCAGCATCCTCATCATCAGGATGCTCATCCTCATCCTCATCATCATCACCATCATCATCATCATCATCATCATCATCATCATCATCATCGTCAGAATCGTGAATATCATCATCAGACTCCTCCTTCCCTTCCTTCCTCCATTCTCCCCGTCCTCACTCCCTCCTGTCCTCCTTCTGCACCCCTCTGAACATAAACCCTCTCCATCGTTGCCATTAATCATCATATGCCGCTTCCTCGTCTTCCTTATCATCCTCCTCCTCGTCCTCCTCAACATCATCATGATCATCATCATTTCCTCCTCCTCACCCTCCGACATCATGATGAGCAGCATCATCATCGTACGCATTCGCATCAACAACGGTATCATCAGAACCGTCGTCGTCGCTGACCCATCATCATCATTGTCAATGCTATCTTCGTCATACCCAACCATATCAGCAGAACTGACATCAATCGTATCATCAATACAGTATTCCTCTTCGGCCTCGGCCTCGGCCTCGTCCTCCCCCTCTTGATCACCTCGTGCGAATTCTGGAGAAACATGTGTCGTCGACGCCAAACCAGGATCGCTGTCCTGCCCTCTTACGTACGTTACCGAAGGTCCTCGGAACCCTGATAGAAGGCCGACACGATCTCGTACGTCGGGCCCAAGGCGTTGAAAATGGTGTCCTCCGAGGCGCAGGCGTCGCGCCGCGCGACGGATGGGAAGCGGCAGGAGACGAGGCGCAGTAGGGTAGGCCAAGGTAGGCAGGGAGAGGAAGAGGAGGAGTGAAAGCGGAGGGAGGAGGGACGGGGGATGATGAAGCGTCGAGGACCTGAGGAGGGGGCGGGAAGGAGAGAGGAGGGTGAGAGGGGGAGGGCGAGAAGGCATGTGCAAGGGCGTGGGAGGGAGGATGGAGCAAAAAGTGGGAGGAGGGACCAGAGTCAACCCAGGATGCGTCAAAGATGCTGCACTGGTTCTTCGAAAGAGCGCCCACGCAGCGCTGGGAATAAGAGAAGGGGGGCTTCAGCTTCGAGCTACCCCCCCTCCCTGGAAAAGGGGGGCGGGGCTTCCGAAGCTTGGGTCGGCACTTTGTAGTTGGGGGGCCCTCGCTAAAGGAGGAGAGGCTTTGAAGCTACGCCGCCCACCTCCCTACCTTTTGCGGGCGCGGGGTAAGCCCGGGCTACCGTTTTCCAAAGGGAGGAGGAGGGTCCGAGCCCCCGCCCCCCTCCCAGATGAGAAGGAGGGGGGCTTCTGAAGCCTCCCCCCCTCCTTTCCTGTGTGCGGGGTAAGCCCGGGCTCCCCTTTCCAGGGGGGGGGGGGGCTTCCGAAGCTACCCCCTCCCATTCCTGGTGAAGGAGCTTCGAGTCTTGGGACGCGGCCGAACACAAGTCAGAATGATAGGCGCGATTACGTTTGAACCCCTTGCTCTGGCCGAGCACAAATCACACGACTTGCGGGAGGTTAGGCCGAACACGAATCACACGAACACAGCCGAACAAGCGAGTAGAAGCTCGAAGGCCCGAACACATGCCGAACACTACGATCAACCGAACACTGCCCAAGGCAGCATGCAGGTGAGGTCCGGAAGCACGGAAGCGTCCTCCAGGGTTTGACCCCAACTCCCGAAGCAGCGGAGGACAAAAGAAAAAAAACAAAAATGAAGCAGCAGGAGAAGAAGGCACAAAAAAGTAAGGCACCGAAAATGATTTGGGATGGTTTTGCAGCCCCCGGGGGTCGGGGCCGCCACGGGGAAAATACGGGAAGCTGCTGTAGCCTGGGGACCTCCCCCCCAAAAAAAACATCTCGGGGCTCGGAATTTGGGGCTCGGAACTTGGCTTCTGGGGGGCCTCGCCCCCAAAACAAATTCTCGGGGCTCGGAGCTTGGCTGCCGGAATTTGTCGCAGCCTTGGGCCGAGCCCTCGAGGATGCTTTCGGGCCTGGGACCTCGCCCCGAAAAACTCTCCAGGGCCCACATTTTTTTGTTTTGGGGGGGGGGGGGGGGCTTTCCTCCGCAGCTCTGGAGATGGGGCACACATTTCTTTGTTTGGGGGAGGGGGCACATATTTTTGTCTGGGGGGGGGGGGGGCTCTTTCCGCCGCCCTGGAGATGGGACACAGCCCTGGAGGATGCTTGCAGGCCTGGGGACCTCCCGAGCAAGCTCTTCGAAGCCCGAAAAACAGTTGCTTGGGATGCTCTCCACAGCCTGGAGGGTCGGAGCCCATGCCTCGAGGATGCTTTCAGGCTCGGGCCCCGAACCGTTTTGTTGGAGCCTTTTCCTGGAAGTCGCTTTCGGGCTCGGGGATCCCCGATCATGCCGATCCGGGGTCCGAAAGAAACAGATTGACGAATTGTTTGGGAACGTCTCCGGGCCACGAGGAGTGGGCACTGACCCCCCAGGGCTGCGAAAAGCACTTTCGGACCTCGAAGAGATTGTCCGGGAGGTTCCAGGTCTGAAAGAATCCTCCAGGGCTCGTCTCCGACCTCCTTGCGTTGCAAAAAGCACTCAACTAAAAACTCTTCGGGCCCTGACAAGTTTTGGGGGGAGACCCCCAGGCCCGACAGCGTCTTCCAGAGCTCGGCCCTGACCCCCAGGGCTGCGAAGAGCACCCCAGAATAACTCTTCGAGGTCCCCAGGCCCGAAAACGTTGTCCATGGGTAAGCCTGGATCCCTCGGGCTGCGAAAAGCACCACAAAAAAACTGCTCCTGCCCGGACATTTGTCTTGGCGAGCTCCCCATAATCCGAAAGCCCTTATAACGGCGACGAGGCGACGATCGAAAGCAGTGCCCCGGCACTGCTTTGAACGCGTTCAAAGCAGTGCCCCGGCACTGCTTTGAACGTATGATATGATGATATGATGATGATTATGATTGATGATGATGATGATTTTTCCAGCGTACACTGTCCGCAACTGCGGCAATCAACATCATGCTCCACTTGCCCGCAACTGCGGCCATCACCAACGCTGCCCCTCGAAGCTCCACGGAGGGCGCTCGGCAGGTCGCCCGCTCGAGCCCCACTCGACTTCACGCTGAGGAGGCGAGCCCTCAGGGGCATTGTCCGCAACTGCGGCATGATCAGAGGGCCACCACTGCGCGCCATCAGCGCCCCATTCGCTCGAGCTCCAGTCCCACCAGGACCAGCCCTGCCATCTCGTGGCGGGACTGCGCGCCTCCCATGCGCCGCTGCCGCTGGCGTCCCAGGACCCAGCCGCCACTGCGGCACAAGAAGGGGTCGCATCGTCGCCGTTGGCAGCTTGCGGCGGTGGCGTGTTCCCAGCTCGCTCAGCCCCAGCGTCTCTCCCCGCAACTGCGGTTCCCATCTGGGGTCGGACGCCCTTCCCCGCAACTGCGGTGTCCGCGTAGCTGCCCTTCTTGCCGCCCTTCTTGCCGCCCTTCCTGCCGCCCTTCCTGCGTTCCAACCTCGCGGCGAGTCTTTCAGGTGACCTGCGGCACGTATTGTGCGTGAAAGCCACCAGAGGGAAGTGCGCTCCGTGCCTCGCCCTGCCGAAGGCGCCATGCCATATCTTGTCGTCGAGGTTGCCCTGCTTCACTCTGAAGGGATGGCGCACCCAATCGTCGCGTTCCCTGCGCGCCATCCTTTGCTCGAACTCCGCAACTGCGGTCAAGGATTCGCCAGATGGCGTCAGGAAGGCGCGCATCTTGTTTTCAACGGGCTCAGCCTTGGGCACGTAAGTCTGAAGCATCTTCCCAGGGCCATTCGTGTAGTCGAAGACAGGGAAAGACGGATCATGCTGGGTCGTCAAGAATCCGCCCTCACGGTCGTGCAGAACACTCAGGCCATGGTGAAGCTTGTACTGCCCAGGACAGTTTATGAACAAAATCGCCATGCTGTCTGCCCTGGGCTGGCCGCCTGCTGTCTTCCAGGGGGTCCACGCGGCGACGTCCACAGTCAGGCCGCAATTGCGGCACCAGGACACAAGCTGGAACATGCACATGTTGAAGTCCCCCATGCAGACCTTCACGTCCCATTCCCTGACGTAGGCGACGAACCAGTTGTAGAACTCATGGAGCTTCGTGACGCCCCAGTCTTGGTTGGCCAAGCTGTGGTGGACGTGCACCGCCATGACGTTGAAGGAGCCCCCCAAATGGGTCACGGCCTGGTCCAGGTGGACGCGCACCACCATCGCCCTGGAGTACTTGTTGTGCAGCTTTGGCGCAGGAGCCTCCGCAACTGCGGACGGTTTCTTCTTCTTCTTCGTTTTGGACTTCTCCTGCTTGTGGAAGAGTCTCGCAAAGTCTACGTGTTCAATGTGGCCGCCACTGCGGTCCCTCATGCCAACAAGGAGGGTCCCTGATGGCTCGCCGCCCTTAACGCACAGGTAGTTGTATTGAGTCCGACTCCGAAACCTATCGTCCGCAACTGCGGCTGCACTGTCCCTCGCGTCGTGCTCCCCACTGAGTACCGCGCAGGTCTCGTCGTCGCACTCGCAGAGGGCGATGATCTGGGCAGGGTTCGCGCGGAGCTGCGCCCACTCGTCCGCGCGTTGCGTGGGTCTAGCTGCAGTCCCTCCGAAGTTGGCCACGTAGAAGCCGACCCGTCCCGCTTCGAACTCCGTTTTCTCCTCCCATGCGTCGACAAGAGCTCTTTGTTTTTCCGACAGATTGCTTGTCTCGATGATGGGCACCCGTTTCCAGGGTCTCCGCGACGACAACACTCTCGGCATGTAGGAGTCATGTGCTGCCGCAACTGCGGCTCCCGCACCTCCCCGGGACTCAGCCTCGTCAGCGGAGGCAGCCGAGGACGCGACGGTGCTGTCGCCATCTTGCGTCCGCTGGTCGTCGTCATCATCCGCAACTGCGGCTTCCTCGTCTTTGCCTCCCTCCTCCTCCTCAGCGTTGTGGATGAACACCGTTCTGGCGAATCGAGGTCCACGGTCCATACTCCCTGAGGATGCGCTCGGGCGCGCGGGCGGCCACATGCTTGCGTCTTCGCGTGCGCCACCTCGAGCCACGGTGGCTACGGAAATGGATCGTGAATGGGCATGGGGTCGGATGGAGGGAGGAGACAAAGAGGATTCGAGGAGTGGCAGAAGGAGGGCGAGGACTCAAAGGAACCGAAAGAACAACAAATGGACTGGCGGAGAAGCAGAAGGAGGGCGACGATTGCAAGGGACTGTGAAAGGATTATTTTCACAGCAGCAGGAAGACCGCAACTGCGGTTTTGCCTCATCTCCTGCCCGCGCGGGAGCCGCTTGGAAAAACAACTTCCCTCTGGACTTCCTGTGGGTCCGCAACTGCGGCCTGCATCACGCTAGGGCTGGGATTACCAGCGCCATTTGCCCTCCCAGGGTTCTCACTGTTTCCGAATGCACGAACTGCGACAGCGCCGAACGGTTCCCAGACGCCGCGTCGTTCGCGACTTTTTGCAGCCACCCAGCAAACGTGAGCGGCCATTGCTCCTTGTGCTGCTTGCACATCTCCTCGTCCCAATGCGTCTTGAACCATGCCCACTCCCCCCTCTGCTCGTCTGAGAGGACGCCTTTTCCGCGAGCCAGGCGATCCAGAGCTGCCATCCTGTTTTTCTTGATCTTGAACTCCTCGGGATTCCACTGCGCTAGGGCGTGTTTGTTAGCCAAAGCCGTTTCCACCGCAACTGCGGCCTCCTTCTTTGCCCTCAAGGCGGCCTCGGCCTCTCGAATCTGCTTCTTGAGATCGTGCAACGCC